TAGATTTAAAGAAGAATGTAATATTGGTGATATAGTGATATCAGTGATATTGGTAATAACAGAAGGGCATAAACTCATAATGAGTTGGGATTGCTGATTGAATAAAATAAATTTGAATAAAGATACATTAATATGTTACTATTACTTTTGTTTTTTTAAAACATTTTTGATATTGTGATTATTTTGATTGTTGTTATTTCATTTCTGCCAGTATCATTGTAGCCTTTATCATTATCAGTGAGCACTGATCGGGTGGAATAAGTGATAGGTGGATATTTCAGTCATGACATATCACTACAATTGTCATCATCTTCGAGTAAAAATGCAACAACATTATCGAACGATTTGATGTGTTATAATAAAATCAATCCAACACTGCTGGCCACAGCACCAAGACCAACGCAGCAGTTCAACGTGCCTCTCAGTTTGTTGGTTTTACAGCGTTTTTACGTTTTTGCATTAATTTTTATTTGTTTCTTGATTAGAGTCGTCTTTTTTTGGAAATTTCAAAGTGTAAATTTCATATTTTAATCAGTACCATTTTCGTAATCGTGTTATCACATTCCTTTAATTACTATCATTACCTTTTGAAGTATCAGATCAGCAGAATTTCGTCGATTTTCTGTTGGTAGATTATTTATTTTCTCGTTCTCTTGGACATAAGCAAGTTGGAACTTATCGTGAGGTTAGAGCACATCATAGCAATAGCTCATGACAAGTGTGGGCACATAAAAACGATGTTAATAGTGTGCTCGAATGAATTGATTTAGTATTGAGGATAGATATTTTTTGGTATTTGAGTATTCTACTGAATTGTTTTATGTTAACGATCCTTTCAGTATCCTGTCGCACAATCCTGACTGCGACATTCCACCGATTGTCACCGATTTAATAGCGTTTCTCAGTGAGAATTCACTTCACGTTGAGGGTCTATTCCGTCGATCGGCTGAGGTTTCTTCGATAAAACGACTTCAAGAGAGGGTCGATCGAGGTTCGTTGATAGTGTTTTATTCTTTTTTGGGTTTTTCTGTGGTATGAAAATAAGAGAAAAATCTTTTTTTCAGGAGATGTAAAATGTTTACAAACGTTTAGGTTTGAAAATATCTTACGAAGTTTTATTTTATTTTTGTTTTTTGTTTCAGGAGAGCAAATAGATTTTTTGAATGAGGAGCCGTATAAGGACAACGTGGTTGCTGCATCAATAGACGCATCCGTATTGTTGAAGACGTTTTTGCGTTCGTTAGGTGAACCAGTGATCACGAATGCTTTATATCCGAAACTAACGACATTAGCTGGTTGGTTGTTTGTTTTGATTTATTCAGATTGATGATGTATTTTGGGAAGGATTGAAGTGTATCCAAGAGAGATATTGAAAAGAATCGAGAATTTGAGATTTGGGATGATAATATCATCGAGACTTTATATGTTCATGAATCGTTGTTGTGATTGTGGACGGAATGATTGAAAGAATGAATTTATTTATTTGTTTGATTGTTTGTTTATTTAATCGGCAATTGCAAGTTAGTCAGTAGGAGTTTATACCTTTCTTTCATCATAATATTATAGCAAATTTTAGTGTTT